ATATTATAATATATGATCTAGTAACTGAATACTGCGTATAAAAATGTAATTTTCACTGAAGATTTCATTTCAAATTGTAACATTTAGTTTATTTGTTTGTTTGTTTTTCATCCAGTAAGTTGTGGTGCTTTACATTAGTATATTCATAAAAGACATATGTGAGTAGATAGCTTCATATGATTGAAATGAAATCCTCAGTGAAAACTATACTCTTATATTTAGTACTCATCTACTAAATGAATGGAAAGATGATTGAACTTTTATTGGACATTGAAAAAAGGATAGTAACTTTCACATTGTTCTTACCGAACATTTGCAGTCAGTCAGTCATCTATAACGCAGGACCAGGCATATATATGTGTCTGTCCAAGTTACCACACCTCATTAGCACAAAAAGATGAACACCAAATTCATAGTAGTTACTTCAATGATAGTTATATACAAAAGAAAGATTGCATATAAGGATATAACACAGGAAGAAAGAGTTAGCTCGTAGAAACAACGGTATGATGTAACTTTAATCACACGGTTTGAGAGAAGACAAAGAGTGTATGCACTTACGCTTTTGTGACCGAGTCTGAGGCATGTCAGTCAGAGTCTCCAACTACTGGTTACGATAGTCGCACGGATCTCAACTAAGTAGTCTGTATCTACTAACATGACTCAGATCAGAAGTTAGTGATTTTATGGACTGATATCACATATTGGTTTGGCCACCCGTAACTTTCTTCCGTTAGTCTCCAACACTAGTCAGAGTTTCGCATCGTGTTCGTCGTTGGTTGAGCATGCGTGAAACGTGGCTCAGCCATGTCAGTCAATCTAGATTTACAGAACGACTGAAAGCTCTACAGATTTACATCACGTAGATTGATTTATGTGTATGAAACCCAAACTCTTATCGTCCTTCAGAAAATTCAGTGTTTTTGGAAATTCTTTTTGTTGTCGTTTTGTTATCATTGTTATCGTTATCGTCACAAATCTGAAATGATTAGAAGATTGTCTGTTTACCTAACTACTGCCTACCTCAATGATCAGCGTTTATCAGTGTAGAAGTAGATTGAAAGAAAGTTAGGAACAATCAAACCAAGACTCAATAACTGTTTTATCTAGTCTTTTAAGTAGATATATACTAACTATAGTGCTTTTTCTTTACTTTTAACGATAAATTTGGTAGGTACAACCATAAACATTCGATAAATAGTGATTAAGTGTTATTAAAGTATGTACTCAATATAGCTTAAGTACACACTTTATTTTTAGCTTCCAAATAAAGATATATCAAATTATCTCTGGCTATAATAATCATTTAAGAACTTGAATCTAAACTAATGATAACGTGATTACTAGAGCTCATTGTTAATCGAAATGTAATCACTGCATAATAATCATGGATTATACAACAAACAAAGAAATACAAATTTACACTAAAAGCTTATTCATTTTCATATTCAGTCGTTAATTTTGTTATTTAGAAAAATGTGAATCATGTGAAAAGTACACAATATAAATAAGAATAAATATATCCATGTGTGTCTTTACCTTAATATTGTTATTATTTATTAAGTACAATTTAATGAATAAATACAGCTTCTGTCTTCTACCAAAAAAATAACATGCTAATTTCAATGGTTAAAATCATGAGTCAGTTGAAACTAGACCACCATGGAAAACCTGGAAACACTGGACGACTGTTTCGTCCTATTGTGGGACTCCTCAGCAGTGCGCATCCACGACCCCGCCCCCTGGAAGATTCGAACCTAGGAACTACTGGTTTCGCGCGCGAGCGCTTAACCACTAGACCATTGAGCCGGTATCCAACGGTGTTAATGTCTAACTTCAACTAATCCACGAAATTGAGCGACACATCCACCATTGTCTTCAGTGAGTTACTATCTCAAAACAGACCTGGTTGAACTGCACTAGTCACTACTTCTCACTAAAACTCCAGGATATACCTCTTGAAGCCAGTCACTAGTGAGTATATGTTGATTAATATCAAATAGGTTTTGTGAATATTATAGTAATTTCAATGGTTAAGATCATGAGCTAATTGAACATCTTAATCATTTTGTTTATTAAAAATAATAATATTAGTACAAATTAAAAAGTGGTTCTTTTTTCTAAGGATATCGAAGTTTATGTAAAACGATAAAAAAACACATCAAACATATTTATGCAGAGATAAATGATGTCTAGTAGTGGAATTCAGGATGAATGTTTCGTTCATAGTTTTGATATTAAATTATTCAAATGAGTTATCTGTTGAAATAAATCAGCGTAAGATATAACACACAGTGAATAAAGGTTCAAGTTACTTGTTAATAAGCAGTTACCATGGTGTGGCTGGTTGTATTCCATTTTTGTTTGTTAAAGATATTCTGACTAAACTAATATAATATAAGGTATATGAGTGGATAAACTGGTAGTGTAGATTTGATATTTGTTAACTTACTTATTTATGCCTGTTACCCCTCATAGATGAGCGTAGGTTGTTCATCAGCATTCTCCATCCAACTCTATCCTGGGCAAACCTTTCCAGTTGCTATTCATCCTTTTCATGTCTTTTTCCAATTTCCAACACAGTGTGTCCTTTGGCCTTACTTTTTTTTCGTTTACCTTCAAGATTTCAAGTTATCGCTTGCTCGTGATGTAGTTTGATGATTTCTTCAATGTATATCCTTTCCACTTTCAGTGTCTTTTTCTAATTTCCTCTTCACATTGAAGTTGATTTTTTCTTTCTCACAGTAGGCTGTTGTTGATGACATCTGATCTACAGATATTGAGTATCTTACGTAGAAAATTGTTTATAAATACTTGTACTTTTTGATGATGGTTGTGGTAGTTATCCAAATTTCAGCTCCGTAGATGCACACTGCTGAGGTGTCTCATACTAGGATGAAATGGTCGTCCAGTGCTCCCAAGTTTTCAATGATGGTTTAGTTTATATATATATAACATTTATGTACATTGTATCAAATTAATTGTATGGCTATATCCTGTATTCTCGCTCTAATGATAATCGTTTCAGTTCAGTCATTGCAATTCTGATATGAAAATTTTATTTTGTCTCCCAGAATTAGATCATTTGACAAATAATTCAGTAATATTAATAGTATTTTTAAATGATACAGGAAATTCAAAATTTGTCCTATAGTCAAATTTGTTTGTACTCAGTTATGTGCATTCAGGTTAGATTGAATAGTTATTTATTCAACTAGGAATTGTGATTAACTGATTGTAAAGGTAAACTTTAACAATAATAGTAAGATTATTATTATTATGGTGGTAATAATGATAATAATAGCTGTTATGATCTTTATTGATTGACGTACTATAAAATCACATCCTCCTCTCTATCTTTTTGTTCACTACATTTATTCATTCAATCAGTTAGTAGAGTGGAGATCAGCTAACTCAGCTATATACATACATCACTTATAGGAATTGTGTTGAGTTCTGGTTTAAACTAAACATTGCCTATCTTATTGAGGAATTTTAGCTGGTGTACGAGTAGGTCAAAAGGAAGTTTAGGGCGGTTAAACCAAACACACGACATCAATCCATAAAGTTATGGACTGTGTGCTCTTTACGATGATTGATTAGTCCAAACTATTCAGTTTAAGGTCTAAGTGACTATCGTAACCAGGTGAGACTATACTCTATGAACGACATTCGAGCGACAATAAAGTGACTTTAATGTTCGACTAATCACTAATATCAACAGAGGATTATCTATTAGTGTGAGAAATCAGTAATAGGATTTATAGTTAAGAGTTATAATTAGAGTTTCATCACGCATTGACACCAACTCTAATGCCGAAATGTAATTTAGCTGAAAATTCTATATTGTAACAAAAATATAATATTGAATAGAGCTATGGTGGCCTGTTTGAACATCTGGGCTATCTGTTTCTGTCTTTTAGATATTTCACCAAGTTATCTGTTTTAATTTGTTTATTAATCCCACAATCTATTAAGGTTCGTTTATGAAAAGTTTACAACCTTTCGCTGTACGAGTTACAAAAAAGCTTAATTAGAGACATCGTGTTTGCTGACAATATGCAGCGAAAAGAATATACATTATTTAGATGTCGATTCCTGGACTGCCAACTTCTAGCTGACGATCACTCAATATTTATCGCCAGGATCGACCAAGAAGTAAGAAACGGAAACTTGTTGAAATACTTTGCGCTGAGAATTCTACACTGTACCAAAAATATAATATTAAATAAAGCTAATAATAATAAATAAATAATAAGACGATAATAAATTTTGCTCCGAAATACATAAGTTTTAATCATAACACTGATATGTTCATCTATAAATTATAGTACCATCGATATTAAATTTTAAAGTTATCATTTTATTATTTGTGCAAACTTATTCTTTTCTTTAAAATCATTATGTTTTATTCGTAACCTTTTCTACTGTCAATGATACCGTTACTACCGCTTTACTACTTTAGATTTAATTTCGTTTCGTGCTAATCCGGTGTAACAACTTGAATCGATGCATATATGCTCCAGGTTGTACACGTTACTAATGACTGAGTGAATAAACTTCTTTATGTCAATTTAATACCAATAAAATATCCATCTCGAATAGTATTGTGGAATTCCCTTTCATAAATTAGTACTTACTTACATATAAACGCCATTTATCCCTCATGAATAGGCATAGGCCGCTCACTAACATTCTCCATCCAAATCTGTCATGGGAAATCCTTTCCAGTTGTTTCCAGTTACTATTCATCCTTTTCATATCTGTTTTCGATTCCTGACGCAATGTGTTCTTTGACCTTCCTATTTTCGTTTACCTTTAGGAGTAGTGGTGCATATAATAATTTTTCGACTTGGTACTATGATATTGTGAAGACTGACGAATAATCGTTGAATATCCATACTAACGCGCACACATACAAGCATAAATAAGACAATATTCATTCTAATTCTATGTTGTATTGTTTGACATTTTCTTATTTTCCTCTGTTCTTTACACAGATCCTGGTCACCAGATTTAATCGATAAACATCATTGCGCATGCTTTCCATCAGAAAATCAAACAGATTTTGAAAGATTATCAACAATGTATGAAACTCATCCACTTACACATATTCCATTAGTTGGATTCAATTCAACTTTTGAACCAGAATCTGTACAAGATTTGATGGAAGTAAGTCCACACACAATGCTTTTTTTAATGTTTTTAATGTACATTAGACTCTCATTTTTGTTGAATATGTTTATGTGTACATAAATGATTCATTCCTCTAATATCTACAGTGTGAAGTAGTGGGTAACTCAATATCTTTAAGGCGTTTGACTTTTATCCACATAGCTATAGGTTTGAACTCCATTTCAGCTACTTTTGTCTTGACTACTGGATAGTATGACACTAGCCTTCACACCTAAAATATTGCTCATAGCCACGTACATCAACTTGTACCTGGTAAACTCGATAAATATATAATACTCATTGTGAATCCATATTGGTGAGTATGTGTTCAGAGAACAATTCTTGTAAGATTTAAACGCTACTGTTGTTCATCCTGTCAACTGTTAACTTTGAATATTTAGAGAATAGAATCCCTCAACCAACTTCTGATAAAATTTATGTAGACGTTTTCTTTACAATTTTGAAATCTAACGAAGGGATCTCTTTTTGTTGTCAAGCCCAATGTCGCGAACTGATTAAAATTAGACATGTACGCCGTGAGATGGTGGCCCAGTGGTCTATAGATTAAGCATTTTTCGCACGCTACACAGAATATTCTGAGCTTGATCCACTATATTGAGGTCGTGGATGTGCACTGCTGAAGAGTTCCATACTTGAACGAAACGATCTTTCAGTCCTTTCTGGTTTTAACTGGTGGTCTAGCTATGAACGATTCGTGATTTATATTGAGAATAAATTTAACCGAACAGTGAGTGTAGCTGGTTACATTGGCCGTACAAAGCGGTTACTTGGTAAATGAATATCTGGGAACTAGCCTGAATGGTTATCTAAAAGGGAAAACAAATCATTCAACAGCTCAGTTGTCATATACATGATCAATTCAGGTCACTACCCACATCACAAATCTGTGTTCAAAATCTTCCACAAGTGAGAAGTGATTCAAAAAAGGTTTGGATGAGGAATTTATACACAACGGAGCCTATGGCAATTCACCATTTCGAACCCGAACTCTGTGTACATAAGAGTCGCACTCAGCCTTTTATTCTCTTATGGTATTAGCGTTCTTCCGAATTTCGCCAATTACAATTGCTAATTATTACCTCATTCCCCTTTACTAAGTGTTTAATTACCTTCCATAGATTGTTACTTCTTATTACTTCCAAAAAATTACATAACGCGAGCCATTAATGATTGTTGATTACTTTGTTAAAAGATGCAGTCGTTTCTATTCCATACTTGAAAAATTTAATTACTAAGAAATAACATCCTTCTACTTATTAGCCATTACCAATATGAGGTTGTGGAGATGGCTAAGTTTTTGATTGGGATCATGAGCCGATCGAAGTTAGACCACCATTGAAAACCTGAAATCACTGGACGACCGTTTCGTTCTAATATGGGACTCTTCAGTAGTGCACATCCGTGATCCCGCACGCGGGGTTTGAAACCAGAACATTCAGCCTCTAACGCATATGCTTAACCTCTAGACCACTGAGCCGATATCCAACAGTGTTAATGTCTAGCTTTAATCAATCCGTGAAATCGCGTGACCATCCTCCATTGTTTGATTTAGATACCTGTTTTCACCTGACACGGATTAGCTCCACTTGAAATATTTAAAGATATTTGATCATTTCGACAGTAATAGTTAACACCACTTCATTCTGACGGACCTCCGCTTGATAAGTTTGATGATCTTTGATTCTTTTGTAAAACCCCTCTATTTTATTATAGACTACTACATGTAAAAAGTTACCAATAAAGCTTCAGAAAATGATATAGAAAGACAGGAAATTCTCTTCGCTTGAATGTCTTTATTTTGTTAATGAATCGAACAACAAGTCTGTAAAGTTGAATTATCAATGATTATACCCACTTCATCCGACTGAAACGCCTTTCACAAATTCTAACCCTAATTACGTTGTTGTTGTTGTACAATTTTTTGGCATGAAAATTCGTTTGATGTGTAAAACAAAACATATTGAGTTCGAGCCTTGTTATGAATGTCTACACTGGGATATATAGCTTATTCAGCTGGTTGAGTTTTACAGAGAACGAAACATGTATCCACCGTATTTCATTGCTAGCCCTTAATCCACTTGCATACACCAAGCCAAATTGTATCATTATTATATCTTCTATATTCTCTCCAACTTGTTTACTTTTTGTCTTTCTTTCCTCTTTTTCTCATTTATACTTAGAAACAAATTGATTGGGAGGCCATTTCACGTGGTCGTTACTCTTGGAAATCACAAGAATATCAAGATTTATGTGTACAGTTGAATGGTACATGGATAGGCAAAAGTTGTCGATCATTTTATGTACCAGATGTGTTCTTCTTTTCATGTATCCTATTTATAGCAACATTTGTGTTAGCCTTTACAATGAAATCGATGCGAAATTCATTATTCTTTCCTACTCGTGTAAGTGATATTTGAGAGGGATGCGTGGTGGAGAGGTGGCTACATGAAGACTTATGGGAAAAATTTGTTTTATTGTTTACGATCCCGGGTTTTTGTTGATTTCAACTAGCTTTAGTTGGGCTTTTCCTTTCATCATCTGTTTCTAACATGAAATGTATTTAATTTTTAATGCAATTTCCTAGTTTACATCATAAAGTGATCTTAGCTGGACTACCAATAAGAACTTGGCATCACTGCACGACCATCAAACAGTGATCCAGGCAATGGATGAAGATTACCCAATATTTTAAATTGATTGAAGCTGAATATGCACACCATTGTATCCCGGTTCTGTGGTCTATAGGTTAACCGTTGTTCATACGCGAGACTAAAGATCCTAAATTCAATCCCCAGTGACGGGATCATAGATGCGTACCGCTGATGAGCCTGATACTAGAAGGAAACGGCCATTCAGTGCTTCTAGGTTTTGAATGGTGGTCTAGCTAAGGTGATTTCATAAGTTGTGGGAAGTTCACTTATTTATTAATAGTTGTCAATTATATCATTAAAAGTAAGGGTTAAATTATCCGGTTGTTAACATTCAAGACCGATATTTAGTCAGTCTTTGTTAGCTCATGTGCATCCTATGAAGTTTTACTCGACATAGCCATTTTGTTACAAGCTTTATATAATAGATGGGTGGTAGATGACAATGAAATCCAGCCTTAGAGATATTGAGGATAACTGAAACCATCACTAGTAACGTTATAAACATTACATCCCTTTGAAAACATTAACGGTTAACTAGATTCAGTAGCTCAATGCATTACGCGTTAGGTGTTTAAAGCGATAGGCAGTGAATTTGACCGAATCCCAATGTGAACATTAGTGCAACAATGCAGGTGTACCCTGCTAACTAGTCCAAAATTCATTGAAATGAATATCGCAGGTTCTACTGGTAAGCATTATCTTTTACATTCAATGTGTTCCGAATGGTAAATTTGAATAAAGAAAGAACAATAAGGATATCAAAATAAGCCGAAATTCATTTAACTTTTTTATTCCCATCCGCTGCTTAAAACAACCTATAACCAATAATAATAATTATTTATTATAACCAATATACAAACTATTTTATATAATATTAGAATGAAGTTTAGTAAAATAATGACAATAAACATGGAAGTATCATAGATCGGTGAACTGTGTAAATATTTATTTCTTTACAGTTCGAATTCATGAGTCGATCTAAGCAAAACCACCACTGAAACTTGGAAACACTGGATGGCCATTTCGTCCAAGTATGGGATTCCTCAACAGTGAGCATCCACGGTCCCGTGTGTGGGACTCGAACTCATGAGCTTTGGTCTCGCGCGCGAACGCTTAACCTTTAGACCACTGAGCCGACAAACAACATTGTTAATGTCTAATTTCGATCGATTCATGAATATTTGTGTGTTATTAATTGTGAAAATTCTAAAACACACAGAGATACGTTTCTATTGAATGAACATTGATGTTTATGTTGTTATGTAACTATAACAATAAAATTTAACACAGATGAGTGAAACTTAAAAAGAAATAAGTATGAAAAGGGATTTTCTTTCATCGAGAATACTAAGTAAGATATTGCATAATTGAATAATGAAAACTAGAAGATACCAGGGTAATGATCGATTTATAACTGATTCCCTTTAGCTTAATTTTTTTTAAAAAACTTTAATGACTTTGGTGTAACTTAGTAGATTTGAAGTTGTTTAACTAGTGATTACTTTGAATGATTTTAAAATATCAACGTTATATCCACCATCAAGAACATGACGTTAACTTTTTCATCTTAATTTTTGTGGCATATGCTCCGAGATGGAAACATAAATTTTCTATACTATATAAAAAACTATCATTTGGATTGTAACAGCTAAATAGCTTAGAGAAAAGTTTGGCTCTCATTGGAACTTGATATACAACATCTGTCTAGTAAATTATATGCATACTCAATGAGCTAAGTCAGTCAGTAACAACGTAGAACTTCTTACGTACGTACGCACATCAGTTCGAGTTGCCATACCACATTAGCGCAGAGATTCAGTTGTCGATTCAAATCACGTAGTAAGAGTATAAGCAGTAATCGGAAAGATTAGGGTTTGGAGATGTTATTTAAAGAGTATAATCCAGTGAAATAAATTTGAGAAGAGAAAAAAAGAAAGGGACATGAAGAATTCAAAAGATTAGAATTTGGGAGAACACAAAGAGTGGATTCACTTGCACCATTGCAAACGATTTTGAGCCATGTTATTCAGGGTATCTAACCATCGGCTGCTATCATCTCGCGGTCCCCAGCCAGGTAGTCTACACCTACTAACATGAATCAGTCTATTTGTCAGTGAATTTATAGACTTGTGCCATTTTTTGGTCTGGCCGCCCCTAGCTTTCTTCCAACCTACTTTTACACCATAAAACATCGCACATCGAGGCAGTCGGTGGTTGGGAATACGTAACACGTGTCTCAGCCATCTCAACTGATGAAGTTGCACTACTTCATCAATTGATTTGCCATCCTTATCTAGTACCCGTTTCCTAACAACTGCATTACTTACTCGATGGTCCCAGGATATACGCGCAATGTTTCGAAGACATCTATGATCGAATACTAGTAACCTACGAATATCCTCAACTCTTACCGGTCATGTTTCACAGCTATAATGTAGGACGGAACGAACTGCTGAGCTAAAGAAATTTGAGAAATACTCTCCAGAATTGCATAAAATCTTGGAAGTTGCTTATACAGCGATTATGTACCAAAAAAATAAACGGTTCCTGTCAAGTCGACCAAATGTTTCATTATTGGTACTGGCAACTAATCTAAAACAAACGAAGTTAACCTCTGATTAAATTTTTAAGGTAGTTGATGATTTATTGAATCAAGGAAAATCATTGATTCTTCCATACTTCCCAATCTCATTTTAAATGAATTTTTTTTTATTGTATTTTAAAAATCTATTTCAGAATTATTCAACTTTGGGATAATGGGATCTGATTTTTTTTTCCCTTTCCCTTTTTTTTTGTTATTAAGGTCACAAACAATTGACCTTAATATCTGTATATATTTGTGTTTAGTTAGATATGGGAATAACTTAAGCAAATCATTGATTAGTAATAGACAGGAAAATATTAATGAATTATTTATTAAATTTTGTAAACTAGTTAATTGGAATAATTAAGATCAATTTAAATCTTTGGACATTTGTACAACAGTTGAGATTCTCATAATTGACAAAAGTCACTTGACTAAAAATAAAAAATAGTTAGAAAGATAAGAAAGTGAAATAGTTGGCGTCAACATCACCACTGCCTCATAACTATTTCTATACATGTTCTATAATTCTAATGTGATTGGCCAGTGTACACTACGTCATTAAGATTCTTAACATACTAACTAGGCTATTGTAATTTATTTTCTCATTAGATGGTTTGTAATCGATTGGTAGTTTAAGCTTAAAACTTCAGTTTTGTTTTCTGGTTAGTGTATGCATTAAAATGATACGTATGTATCTGCGATCTCAGTAGAATCGGTGCTGTATATGAGATTTTACCCATTATTGTAGTTAGGGATGCTATATTACTTATGAGCTATCCGAACACCTCTTTGATTTGTATATAATTTAAATAACACTTTCTCAACTGGTTATTTATTTTGTTTGTGCTTTATTGATCATTGGTTGGAGATAGTCGATAGGATACTCTGTGTTTTTTAATACAAGTTTTGTGCTAGTTGACAATCATTACCAAGACTTACTTAAATCCTGATACGCCTCACACCTCCCCCCCAACATCATAGCCTAATAAGCAAACACTGAGTTACTATTCGGGCCATGACTGACGATTGATTGGTTACTGAATAGTAACTAATATCATGTTTATCTAGCCATTACCAAATTATATTGACCCAATTGTGATTAGACCTCTGCTAGTCTGAATGATTCGATACACTATATGCTATGTTATGATGTTAGGTGGCTGGAGGTAGCAGTAGTAGTATGTGTATTTGTTATAATTAACTGTTTATTCATTGTTACTTTATAATTATCCACTCTATCTATCTATCCATTACTCATACACTTATTTTTGTTCTCTCTCGTGTAAATATCCATATACTTTAGGTACGTCAATTAATATCAGATTTCTCAGTGGTAATTGCAATTGCGATCGGTACCACAACAGATTTCTTGATGAATTTACATACACCAAAATTGTTAGTACCAACAACATTTGAACCAACATTGGGTTATAGTGTAAGATATTATTATTATTATTGATCGTTAACTGTTATCTTATTCTTTTGGTTATTCATGTTTTTCCTTATTCATTAGTCAATTAGTTCTCTATCATTCAGCTAAGAAAACACAACATCTTCAAACATTTTCTCATCTTCATATACAAAAATATTTTTCATCATTTCAGTATGAAATCAAGTTATAGGTTATAGGTAAACAGTGAAGAATTTATCAACTTCCAAAAGATGAAATATTTTTTAACATTCTATGAATATAAAAAAAATTCTAGTTGAAAGAGTCTTGTGGAAGTTAAGTTAATTTCTTTCATAGATTAATCATAGTTGAAGTATTGAACAGCTGCTTCTTTCTAATATATCATCATTTCAATAATGCAAATCTACAACTCTACTGGGAATCACAGTCAGTGATCTATATTTTTCTGTAGTATCTCGAATCAGACCAATCATTGATGAACCAAAGTTATAAATTTAAAAAAAAGTGATGATATCAAATCAAGAAATAAGTATAGGTAAATGTGTATGTACCAAAGGTATAGTAATTTACCATCTATTAGTCAGTTACTGAGATTGAAATATAAAGTTAGTTGTATTTGATCTTATGAACATTAGTAGTCAACTGAGATGACCTGAATTCTGATTATTGTTAGAATATGTATGCATCTTGTGAAGATTGCTTCAGTATTCCTATTTTGTAAAAAAAAAATGCTTAAAACTGATGGTCTTTGGATAGCATTGAAATCCAGAACGCTCGTTTTGTCCTACTATTTAGATAGACACTCATTTGTGCAATGGATATGACAACCAAAACTGATCAAATTTAAGTCAAAATATAGACAACGGGAAAAGTGAAGTGAAGTGAAACTTTTTTTATCTAACCTATTATTATAACTGTTATTACTTTGTAGAAACGTGGCTGGTTTATACATCCATTCGATAATAATCCATGGTGGTCATCCATTGTTGCTATCGGACCATCACTCCTGGCAGTTATATTAATTTTTATGGACCAACAAATTACAGCGGTCATTGTGAATCGACGTGAGCATAAATTAAAGGTAATCAACATTTCTTCAAAATTCATTTCACTTTTTTTGAAGAAAGAAAGACTGTCAGTTGTATTCCTCAGAGAATGGTCTTACACTAGAGTTTTTTTGAAAAGCAAGAAAGACTAGATAACTTCTTCATTATATTATGGAGGTTTTCGTCAGTGTACACCTATAACGCCATCAGGGATTGAACCGAGTACTTTCAGATCTTTTAGCTAGCCCCTAACCATCGGATCACTAGGTTAATATCAAGTAATATACGACCATCCACCACAGAAAATGGATAAAGGTTGGACATTATCGTGAGTTGATTGAGTCTAGACATCTACACCACTGGGTGTCTGCCCAGTGGTTTAGAAGTTAAACGTTTGAGCACGAGACTGAAGGGCTTCAGTTCGATAACTAGTGGAAGGGTAGCGGTAGATCACTGCTAGTGGGTTTCAAACTAAGGCGAGACGACCGTCCAATGCTTCAAGGTTTTCTATGGTAGTCTACCGAGAATCAGTTTGTGGTTATAACTGTGAAAATACAGTAAAATTCATGAACTCCACATGATTTTCATAGTCATTTATACTTCATAACATCAGAGACTGATATCGTCTCCTGTCGTTGATTTGTAAGTTAGACTTTACGCATTCCATTCACATTGAGTCATTAGTAACATTAGTGTTTTCAAATGAATTATTGATAGGTCTTAAAGTAACCAATCGCCTGACCAATTAACTAGCTTTCTCACTAACTAAAGATATCAAATGCACACCTCCAATCAAAACTGTAATATTTTGAGGTAGATTATGATCCTTGTATGGTACTCCTTCTCGGTGTCTATTCATTATCCTATCAAGTATTTAATCTTCCGTTTCATAGCGAAAGCTTAACTCCTAAATTACTAAAGCGGGATCCAATGGCATATGTTTAGCTTCAAACAACTTACGATTTAGTCCAGTCATCTTTCAATATCACTGGTGGGTAATTGACGTCCAAAGAGTCCATGTGGGTAGCCATGATCAGTGAAATTCAACCAAGCCAGTTAATTCATCAATAACATTAGAAGATGGTTGTACTTTATCTCAAGTTGATTGAAGTCAAATCTAAGTTTTCATTTTTCATCGTCATATTGAATTAAAGGTGTTTCATTTTGTTTTGCTCAGTTGCTTTTTTGTCTCCATTAATTTTGTATAAGGAACAAATTGTTTTGCCTATTGATCTCGTCCCTACCCTTTAGTAATCCCAATCTATCTATCTATCTATCTCACATATATATGCATATTATAGTCTCTCTTGTGTACATACACATACACTTCATTTGTTCCTTTCAAAACAACAATAATATTTATTAATCAACTTTCCACAAAGTTGTAATTTAACTTCCTACACACATTCAAACAATAAAATTGCCCCCTCCCCCGAAAAACATATCGGGAAGCTAGAAAGTAACAACAAAAAATCGATAGACAGAAATTGACTGAACTAGGTAAAAGACATAAATGGACAGAGAATAATAATAATAATAATAATAATAATAATAATAATAATAATAATAATAATAATAATAATAATAATAATAAGGGATATTTTCAAGAGCCCATAACACACACACATCAACTATTCTCACCAATCCACCGTTAATATAAGTTATTATCACTTATCATCATCGTCATTTGGTGTGCACCATTATTTTGCTTTATACTAATTAACAGGAATCAATTTTATTATTGTTATTAATCAAATCGAAGCTAACTGAGATTTTTAATAAAAACTAGAGAAAAAAGCTTTGAAGTATTGTTGTCGTCATTTTCTTGGATCACCAGTACTGTAATTGACCAGTTTCTACTGCTATGTTCTCATCTTGAACGGATTACCTCAATATAACATTTGGTATATTTTTATTAGTGAAATCCGTGATACATGTGTTGTTCCGTTTTAGAATTATCAACTGGGATGTACAATGCCATAGTTCTGCGTTGATTTTCATACCGAAATTGAAAAATCTACCGACAGATATCTGGGCACAATAGCTTAGTGGATAACTTGTTTGATATTTGAAGCGAAAGGTACTAGATCTGATCTCCAGTGTGATGAGCATCATTACTGCTATGCAGGTATATTCAATTGATGAAACTCGTCCACTGGATTCCTCTGTTATCTATATATTTCATATACACTGAAACTTTAAAGAACTTCATGAAATATTAAGGGCTATTTATTTAGATAGGGAATTGAAGAAAACAGATATTTCTTAAAATGATCCAGCACCTGTGCTACCTTTGGTTTGCTGTGTTAATAAAAAATACTGAACGAATAGGGTATCTTGTAATTTTTAATTGTTGATTCTATGTCCTAATGATTACTGATAGACCAATTATTATGCCATGTTGTAACCCGCTGACAAATATCACATGCTAAGTCACCAATCAGAACCTAACCTCTAATTTGGTCTGTTATTTATTCTATAGTTTAACGTCTCTGACTTGGTCAGTTCTAAGCTCAACCAACACTATTGACCCTGAGGTAGCAGATATCCACTACCTCCTCTCTCTGCTCACCGTTTAAGTCCAGAATTAGCAACCAGCCTTTACTATATTTATATTTCATACATACTTTGCTTATATACAAGTACACTATACTGTCGCATCGCATCACAAAATGAAAAATAACAGTTATACGTAGACAAAAGTGGCTATGAATATGGGAGAATGTGTAAGAGACTGAAAACAAATTAAAATATAGAACGTATGATAAAAGGATTACATAGACATAGTAATCTAGGTATCCTGTAATTATACAACAAAATTATAATTAAAAATAATTTGAAAAACTATTCCCAACTTTTACAATGTTCTCTTGGTTATAACACAAAATATGAGTACATTCTCTATACATATGATTGTGGTAAAAAACCCTAGAAGTTAAGGCGATTGTATAAAGTAACGATGCAGTTGAAGTGTTTTATGTCTGACCAATTTTCAGCGTTGTTTTCAATAAAGGAAATAGATATAACATAAATACATCACCACAAACAGAAAGTATATTGAAAAGAATAAGATTTTCGTATTGTAAGTTTTGTAAAATTAACTAATTCAAACCATACTAAATAATAATAATAATTATTATTAGAGAAGAGTTATTGTGGATATTATGATAATTTAAAAGTTGACTCCATGAGGCGGGATCGTGGGTATGCACCTCTGAGGAGTCTCATACTAGGACGAAACGGTCGTCCAGTGCTTTTAGGTTTTCCATGATGGTCTAGCTTCAATCGACCCATGAATTCAACTATTAAATAACAGTAATAATAATAATAATAATAATAAGACACAACTGTTTTATAAATAAAAGATCGAGAAGGAAGCTTTACCGACTGAAACCGAATTGAGCAATATATATTTATTTATTCATATACATACACAGAAATATATACGTCTTTGTCTCTTAGAAATTAGAGTTGCACATTCGATCAATAGTTTCTGTCTTGCTCCGTAGAAAAAGTATTCAAATCTTAGCCAATAGTGTGAACTTATCATATGGTCAATGTTTGATTGTCTCGAACTATCACTTACATTTTTACTTTTCTGTGTTTATCTTTAGATTAATGATGTTTCTCTGGTGTTTGTTTAAATGTGTTTGTGCATGTACACAACTGATTATATCGTCTCAGCATTCTCTCGATAGTCCGATAAACCCTACTATTAATTAGATGATATTAATTATTCAAAAATATTTAAAATCCAGTCAATCACTATTCTCTGATAAACAAAAATGGCATTCTTTTCGTTTTATGTTACCTTCTGTTTAACTCTCCCTCTCTCTCTCTCTCTGTTCTATTTCAGAAAGGAGCTGGTTATCATTTGGATTTACTTGTTGTCGCAATAACTATATTAAGTAATTCAATCCTTGGAATCCCATGGTTTGTCGCAGCAACGGTCCTGTCGATTAATCATGTTTTATCATTGAAAAAGGAATCTGAAACAAATGCTCCTGGTGAACGACCAGTTTATTTAGGCTGCAGGTAAGTCTTTACATGAATATATACGATGTGTATGTGATCATTTTTCTACATTTGAGAGACTGTTGATCAGTGGAATGTGCTTAGTAGGTGATGGCTATTTTATTTCAACATAAATTTCCTAAGAATTCTACTTCTGGGGAAGTATAACGTTTGAGACTAGCATACGAAGGATCGTTATAACCTTGTTACGCAATTATTAGACGTTCAGACTGCTGTATTTTTAGATTCTCCTATTTTTAGGCTTCCATCGAACCTATAAACGGTTATCATACGTCTCACTATTCCAGAATAATCACTAACTAATCATCCTCCTATTACCCTAGATTTGCATTACTTATGACTACGTTATGGGTGTATTGTAATCCTCTAGTTGTGTTGTTGTGTGGTAAAGCGTCTCAAGCAAGTTATCGTACGAGTTTTGGGTCATAATTGAATTGAAAATAATAGTAGGAAAATAATCAGCTGCTGGTCTTTGTCTTGTCATTGACCACTCACTGGATTAGACGGAGCTTGAAGACCAATAAGTAGTAACGCCTTGATTGTTGTTTATTGGTTGATGTGGCAATTGGTACTTAGACGGTTACCAATCCTATCGCCAATATAATTGAACTAATCGATAATCGACCTCGAAATAAGGAAAGATCATAAAACTTCTTACCTGTCATCATTACAAAAAAGAATCCGTTTCGTTTTCCGAAACGACAGTGTTCTAATTTCGCTGATGATACATTCAAATCATGGCCAATCAAAGGACAGTTATGTGGAGTTATCATTGTTTAGAATTATTTCTGATACTCCATCTTCTTTCAATCAGTTTATCCTTGATTATAGTCGGAAATGTGTGTGCACTTGTCTAACTACCCAACGGTTCTGAGTTCGATCCACACCAGTGTCGTGGGCTGTACACTGTTGTGAAGAAGTCTCACACTAGGGTGGAACAATCCTCTAGTACTCTCTGATTTCTGATAATATTCTAATTGGGGTCAAAATGTAGTGAATACCACCAACAAGTTACGGTATTTATTTGTTTACCATCTGAAATGGTGAAAGAATGAACGAGCTTTCTATAATAAATTTGAATCTGAGTTACTCACTTTAGACAACTTTTCTCATTAAACGAATTCTTTTAAGAAGTTGGTGAAGTAATAACCATTGACCTTAAACATAGACAACCTGTTAATCAGTTCTGTAAGGTGTTTCCAATGCATTTGTAAAAAGAGGACTCATACCCTGTTTTCTATTTACTAAAATAATTAAGAATCCGGTTTTATAATTGTTTTACAATCATCACAAACTTGCCTTATTTTGACAACTACTGAAAAACCAGAAAAGCACTAGACAGTTGTTACGTTATGGTGTGTAATTCCTCAGTAGTGACAATGCGAATCTACAACTGCGTCACAAAAGCTTGAATTCAGTACTCTTAACTGTCTAGTCCTTTCCGTTTCTCAATACTTGTCTAAGATTAGTTTATAATTATAAAGTATGAAATTCAACAATCTACACAGACTTCTATAATATTATTATTTTCTGCAAACTCATATTCACTCAAACGTTTCAACATATTGTTTAAGATGTTTTTTTCTCCGAGAGGAGAGAAAGAGGGAGCACAAATTATGTTACTTTTATCTCCTCTGTCTCACACATTACATAACTTTTATGGTGTTTATTATCTTTTTCTCTCTTTTTTCATCGTTTTCTTTCCTTCTAGAGAACAACGTGTCACTGGAGTATTAATTTTCCTATTTATTGGTTTATCTGTATTTATGACTCCTTTATTATCAGTAAGTCATTTAAATTACACATATATACTATCATTATTAGACACAATACTGCCTATTAACCACAGTTAGAAATATATAAACCGTTGAATGCTAAGTCATTGGTATAAAGGTTGCAAGACCTGATAGTTGTAGATTCGATTCCTGATGAAGTTTTGGATACACAGTACCACTAAGTTATCCTATATTTGAACCAAACAGTTGTTCATTTATTCTTGGTCTTTAATGGTTACCTAAATAGTATTAGTTCATGATGTAAACTATAAACATCTGTACTCTTTACAAACCATCTTACATTTACGGATAAATTTATGACAATTAATTGAAATTTTATTTAAAAGTCACCAGCTATTGGTTTGAGCAATAATGTAAATTCATTCCCTATTTGTTTTAAATTACCCATATTTTTCAAATTATTGTTTAAAGTAATCGCCTAAACTAGATTGTTTTCATCTACACCAATACACGGCTCAGTCTGACCGTCAATAATTTCATGGAGTAATGATATCTTTGGGTTTGGTTATCTTTAACTGTGCTTCGACCCACCCGCATATCAGCCAAAATCGAATGTTAAAGTAGCTGATGGTTAGGCGTACGTAAGATATGTCCTGACTCCATTTAACCGAATTACCATCTTTACTCAGTCTATTCATTTAACCTCGACTGACGAATATTATCCAACTTAAATACTCATCCTCTCTAAATACAGATTTATAGCAAAATATAAAATCCAACTTATTGTGTATAAATGTTTTTTGGAAGCTTGTAAATCACAACTATAATTGAAATGAGACACGTATATCAAAGCAAAGACCAACGAATACTATTTATAAATAATAATACAATTTAGTTCGTTTCAAAACATCATAATGATAAGTAATTGAAGTTTCTTTTTTGGCACAATTTTTTCAATGGATCTTTATGTTTTGATGAATCTTCTAATCAGAAAAGTAATTTTGAATTCAGTTATAGAATCATTATTTATTATGTTCCATTTTTCGTAAATTGTCAACTCCTGATTGCTGTATGATCATTTAACACTTAAGTTTATTTAAACAGTAGAATTGTATCGATTGTAATCTTCACGAAAATATATTTAGGAGTTGTATTCATTACTGACTGATCATAGTTTTGATATCATTGTACAGATCATGGATCACTAAACAGCTATTTATTCCTAGTACGGTGTCTCAGTGGAATTGCCCATCAAGGAGCGAACCCAAACCTTCAAGTCTTGCGGTGAATACTCAACCATTGTAACTACTGAATTGAATCAGCATACAATGGTGTAGTTCCATACTTAATCAATTCACGATTTATATATATATACCATTAAGTCATATTAGTTGCTAAAAGAACTTTTCTCACCCTATTTTTCTTTCCTTTTCTTACTACTACCACTATTTCAGCGTATTCCAATGCCAGTACTGTATGGAATATTTTTATTCATGGGTATATCATCAATGCGTGGTATTCAAATGTTTGAACGTCTTAGTTTATTATTTATGCCGGTTAAATATCAGCCAGACTATCCTTATTTGAGGTTAGCGACAAATTGTTTTTTTTTATTGGTAAAAATCGATTATTGTGAATGTGATATTTTTAAATTTATTGTTTATTGTACTTTTGCGTTGTTTCACATCATGCTTCATTCCAATGTCCATTTTGCTAAGAAATATGTCTTTCAAACGATTGGTACTCGCACTTGAAGATTTATTGACCTAATGCTCAAAAAAATACAACAACGTAGTTCTGATTAAGATCATGAATCGATCAATGTTAGACCACCATTAAAAACTTGGAATCACTAGACGGCCGTTTCATCCTAGTATAAGACTTCTCAGCAGTGTGCATTCACGATCCCTCACACGGGACTTAAACCCAGGACGCTCGGTCTAGGGTGATTTTTCTTATCCATCCAACACTAGGGATGTAACAAGCACACATACAGTTAATAAGCCCGAAGTAGTCTGGAACGCTTACTCAGGATTATATTACTAACCACACAACCTACTTATTCTATATGACTTTACCTATCTTGAAATGATCGATTAAATGATAACTGACAAACATTTAGCGTGTTAAGCTTCAATTTCATTTTTTCTGTGTAGTACTGATGTTACACTGTGTTCTGAATATTGAAATGATAAGACATGTTACTTACCGGTTCAGTTGATAATACTTACTGACTATAAAACATAACCGGTGAAGGTTGAAGATATGCTTAGTAGTACGGTTGCAAGATTGTTTGATCATAAATACCTTTAATAAAGCATTACACAAGTGTGACTAAATTATCAAAACGTACGTGCTGTGTTGTTTTGAAGTGCCCTTCAATCACACGTGATAGTCATATGTTTCGGGTCACTGTTCACTTTAACATGTTGTACTGCTCAAAATAAGAATACATTTGAAATAAAGCGAATGTTTTGAACTTAAACACGAAGTCTGTCGATTTAGTTATTGTCTGAACGTGTCACGTGGTGAACTCATAGCTTGATAAAATCAATCATGGTGATTATATATATACCCTATTTCTATAGATGACATCACAAACTGATATCATTTGACCAACCATTGAAAATCAAAAACTATCACACAGATATTTCGTCCTAGAATGGGACTTCTCAGTGGCAGTGTGCAACCATGACTAAATTCACCAAGGATATCAAGGTGCTGTGGTGAGTACTTGTTCTCCATATCAGCGAATCAACATCCAACGGCTTATATTTTCTGATTCAATCAATTTATGATACTGGTAATTAATTAACTGGTCCACACTCGACAATACTGAACTTCACTGGTTACGCATCTCACTCGTCTCGACATCATTCACTAGTGACTATATAACTTCTTACGCTTGTGAGCAAGATAGTAGGTCCGGTCTTTGATCGCCACATGAAGGGTCGTGAATACGCACTGCTTAGAAGACCCATGCAGTGACAAAATGACCAACCAATGCTTCCATATTTCCAATGGTTGTTTACGTTTGATCCGTCAATGGTTTCAATTAAATTTAACAAACCTTACAACCCTATACTGTCAACAAATCTTTATTTGAATTGTTCACATTGATTGATTGATCTGTGAAATGTTTAGGTTTATTCTATTTTCCATTTTACTACTACAAATACTTTTTTTAGTTTTATCTCCATCAATACCACCTACAGAGTGTTCCTGATTTTCATTCTAAACAAATCAGTTTACATGTGTTGCGTGTACATACGTGTACAATAATCTGACACAATAAAAAAGGATTTTTGTCCATTGAATCTTGCATTATGTGATTTCATTTTATGCTACCTTTTGTTTAGAGGTTTACATAGTTATACATTCACTGTCATAGTTTAAGTCATTATAACTGAACTTTGCTAGGCATACTACGATTGAAAATCAGGAAGTACAGGACACACTTCAGAGAATTCTCATGATTTTTTTGTGATTGGCTTTTTTTTAGCAGGGTTTTCTTCCACAGGATGATGTTGCTGACCCTATGCTAAACCCTCCTCCTCTATTCGGGCTTGGAACCAGTAGTAACCCTAAAAGGGCTACAGGTGGGGTTATAGGAGTCCCATACCAGAGCAAAACCCGTATCCAGAGCTCCCTGATTTTCATTGATAACGTATCTAGCTAAGATCAGTTCGAGATTTAAACTATGAAAAATCTAAAATCTCTACAACCCCCTCCTTTACTAATATTATCTACTTGTTAATAGTTTACCGCCTAATTGATTTTAACAGTAGTATTAATAATAGCATACTCAATAACCATTGTGAAAACTTCCACTCATTGTAATTTTCACCGTTAGCAGGAGGTTCAATAATGTTCAATTCGAGCAGTCTCTGCTGAGTGACGTAAGTATACACTGGAAGAGACCTAGGACAGGTTTGTACATATAATTGTGTATGATATCAATAAAAGAAATCACTGGTTTCCGGTTTAAGCTATGAAGAAAGATAAGTGCAGTCTTCATGATTGACAACCTAAAGATATTATATGGCTTAAGTTCGTCTATAATCATTCAGTTGCTGCATTTATTGTGTATATTCCTCGTAATATTGAGTTTAATATGTTATTCGCTAATCTTAATTCATCAAAACCATTTCTTCACTTTAAACTATTTTCTCTCTTTATGATTAGTAAAGGTTCAGATTATCTCTTTGTGCACTGGTGTTTAAGTGTTTCAACACATACCAGCGCAAATTGAAATGAAGTTCTATTTAGACTACGGACAGAATGGTATCACATAGTGTTTTTCTCCTGTAATCCTAATTGCTTAAGCAATTACCCTACTACTTGTGAATAATTTAAGTAGCATGTAATCATCCCAATAAATTGAATTAACTTAGTATCTCACATGTCTCAGCATATGAGAGCATCACTGCAACTCCTTGTGTGTGCTGGATATTTCCTTATTCATAAGTAGAATGCAACAGCATCTGTCTCAAATTTAGTCTTTCCTGTCCAGCTTGCGTCCAATGGGTTTCACTTATTATAAGTACTGCCAAGTTGTGTCTTTTCATCTCCGCAATTACTTGAATGGTCCTCTGGGTCTCTCACATTGTGAGGACATTTCATTTACCTATGTTAATTATTGTTCTGCTTGTCAAAAAGAGCATGGGTCTTATGACTGCTGATGAACTTCATTTTTCACCCTGAGGCGTCATACCTCTTAAAGATGAAGATCCTTCAACTCCCAGGGAAGAGTTCAAATGGTTTAAACAATGTTTATGATGAGCGATTTTTTAGCAAGGTCCTTTTCTACAAAATGCATTTGATGACCCAACACCTAAAATTACTCCTTCATACTGGCTTGAGACTAGGTGTATCAGCTTAAACACAATTAAAATAAACTTTTAAATAGTCACTGTATATGGAAAGTTAAATTAACATATCAGTTTTCATACCCTCTCAGGTAATAAGTGGATCTAATCGACAACCTCTAGATTGCTGTTTATAAATGCAAACATTAAGTTTGTCTAAAAAATAGTCGCGGGACACAGCCAGCAAGTATATTTATCGGGGACGTCATCAAAAAGTTACATTTATTCGATTACACATCCCTTTCTTTCGTGTTGTCCAACTAAGTAATAGTCAGAGTCGAGCTTAAATGTTTTAGTTATTAGCAAGTAATCTAATACCTTTAACACAATTTTGAAGTTGCTTATTGATTAAAATTGATAAAAAGTTATAAGTCATATACAATGCATCATTTAATAAAGCATGATGTGTTAATTGATGTAGAAATATATTTGTATGAGGTCAAAAACTTAATACTAATCCATGCAGTCATTAATATTTACTTGAGCTCTGTAGAGATATATATTTGTTTTCTTGTGTGAGATTCTTTGAGATGTTAGGAATTAAAAGTTGAAAGCAATAATTTGTAATTCTGTGATCACATATTCAATAACTTTGGTGATTTATTGGCCTTCTAGTGAGATGGTTAACTGACTACCACAGATGACGACCATCTCAGCTGAAACTTTAGAATATACCACACAAAGTATCGCTATCCCATTTTTATTGTATAATTAGTAGATAGCTGTATAATTTTTTTTCTATATTCCCTTTATTGTGAGCTAATGTTGGACCTACTAAATATTGTTAAACGTTTCATTATTCTCCAATTAATGCTAATTATTCACCTACCTTTTTCCTCCTTTCTCTCTAAATTCGGAGTAGTTATGCCTAAATTGATACTTTATATTTATGCTGATAAGCGATCAAAAAATTAATATGTTATTATATGAGTTGATTCACATAAAAAATACCTTTTCATTACCTGCTTACTGTGTTCTGTTATTGTACTGAAGACTGGGCTAGAAGAAAAGCGTACATTCTAAACCAACGGTAATTAGGATTATTTTCGACTATAAACTTAAGACTGAACTTGGTAATCGAAGTATATAGTTAGTCGGACCTTAGAACACAAGACGATAGCCGAAATAGTATGCCCGAGGTTTGAGAAATTATAACCAAGATTCTGATTTAACTGATCTATACTTTTGATACTACTTACGTCTCAGTCATAACAACTCCATGATGTACAGTCTTTTCTTATGTATTTACAAAAACCTCCCTAGTCTTTAAGATGTTTCTATGAATGTTTTCGCACCAAAATTGTTTCTCATCTGATACAAAGATTTAAATAAGTTTCAATTTTTAAGGAAAAATGTCATTAAATTATTCAGTTAGTCAAATTTTAATTGACTAATTATTTATAAAGTAATTTATTTATTCTCTTTCTTTGTATTGGCCATGATTTACTTAATTTCATATGGAATTATGATGAATTCTCGTGATATTAGCTAATCAGTTCAGTCACTAGATAGAACCTGGTACGTATGTACCAATGGCTTTACGAGCCGATATCATGTTTTGATTTGGCCTCCTCCAAGCTTTCTTCCAATCTACTCTTACACCAGACGATATCGGCCTTTGTGGTAGGCAGAGGTTGCACTCAATAATAATAGTCATTATTTTAGTAATATTCCTCATCTATAAGTAAATCGGATATTAAAAAACACAGTTAACCCTTTACCCTCCAGTTATTTATCTAAGAAAATAAGCAATACACCACATTGAGATGCTGAAAAAGATTTGTAGCTCAGGTGGATGATTTTGGTGGAGTTTTGTTCTCTGAGCTGGATGGTTTGGTTGTGAAAATATGGATCGCTTCACAATTTTGCATGTCATCCAGCTCAGAGAACAAAACTGCACCAAAATACACCACACTATCAAATAATATAACGTAAGCAACAACAAGAAGAAAACAAGATGCATAAAATCTATTTTTGTCCACAAGTCATAACACATTTTTCGGATTAAATTAAAATTACTTTTATCCATGAATTCCTTTCTACCAACCGATTGATTTGTAGTTTAGTTTATGTATTTTTAATGATAACCATCCTTTCATTGGTTAGTCGACTACGTATAGCATATATGATGGGTAGAGCTGAAAGATAATTGGTTATTTTATGTCATTTATCTTGTATCCTTAGTTTGAACGCTTCTATTGGTTAGATGATTGTTTCTAATTTTATCGGTCAGCTGACTAGAGCGTTGGTGTTTTGGCGTTTGTTCGGTCGACATTTTGAAGGATTGGTTTATTGAAAAAGAAATATTGTGATATTTTAATATCAACACACACCATCAAGTCACAGATCTTAGGAGACATGACACAACTTGATCGATAGGATTCGATCATTAGCATTAAGGCTTAGACAAACATGTTCTAGTTCCTCAACAATCACTATAAATATTTCAGTTCTACAGAAGAACATTCACAATGTAAATGGCTCTGTGATTATACCTCTGATAAGTGAGTATTATGTTGTGTTTGAATTCCACTGGGAACATCGGTTCCTCCAAAATTACATGATACGCCGCGATGACAAGTGTCAACTAGTACGAAACCAAGATCAATACAGGGCTGTTTGTTGACCTCCTTCAACCACCTATTTATCTCAACTTACTAACACCTGCAAGGCACATTTGGAGAACTATCTCTCAATAGGATATCTTAATTCCAACTCATTCACTAACTTACTGCTAAGCGGACTGTGTGACTGGTTCAGCATATTTTTTTAAATTTTGATGAATTTTCTTCAAAAATCATTATATTCCCCTAGATTATGTTGATTTTTCAGTGAATTATCGTTGAAAACAAAAAAATACAGATGCATTACACCTTTCTCGGTTATTTACCCCTTTCCTCACTTTTTTTCTATATTTTCACTTCTCTTCTTTGCTAATATTATTCAATTACACTTCCCAGACTTACGTACCTCAATTTAAACTGTTTAACATGTACAGTAATATAAGTTAAAATGTGGAGATTTTGATTAAACTAAACTTTTTAATATCCTACTGTTTCTGTGTAGCGAATATTGTGAAAGCTAAAACTTTTAAGACTATCTTATGAGAACAAATGGATGACTAGATTATGAATGAGTTTTTAGGTATCAATATCAAGGTTGAACTTGATAGTTTCAAATAAACTGAGCATTGGGTATAAAGTCATTAATAAACATATTTTTATTACACTTTAATGAATAGAAAAATTGTATTTCTGAAGTTTTTTTTTAAAACTTAATGTGAGCCACTTCTTCAAAGTAAATAAATAGATCAATATTTTTATTTCCCTCTATTTGTAAACTTCCATTTAGTGCGTAAACTATTGTTGTATGTTTTGCCTTTCTCAAATTAATGTTAATATATTACCGACTTATTACTTACTTTCTCTTTCATTGATGGAGTAGCGATGCACACATTGTAATTTAATAATTATATTGGTAAGTAATCAGAAAATTACTTTATATTACTGTGTGCATTTGAGTCGTAACATCTACCAACTACTCCGCAAATAAAGATCTTGTCTGCTTACAGTTTTCTTTAACCGGATTCAATATAAGTAAATCGAAGAGACTATGTCCCTGATCCAAAATTTGTTTAGATTATCTTGGCCACAGTTCGAGATTAATCATTGTCATTTTAAACTTATAACTGATCAACGCATAAGACATGAATCTATAGACGAAATAGGTAGAGTAGATAACTATAAATAAATCCATATTCTAATTGTTAAATCTCATCGTATGACATCATTAAAAGTTTGATCATAACACGTACATAAAACTACATCAGTTCGCTTTTTCATAACCCTCCTCCCATACTCACACATGCAGACACACATATAACAATCTGTAGGGTTATCAAAATCTCAAGTGTCTTTTTGTCAGTAGGGATCCAGTAACCCATATCATAATGCATTTTAAAATATTAATTTATAACTAACCCTTACCAACTAATGAATGTCATTGAAAACGCTGAGTAATGTGACTTGTAATCAGTTGCAGTAGTTGGAATGTATTCACGCTTTCTTTATATTCCTCTAGATCTTGAGTCATATTATTCCTCCATACAATTCTCACTTTTATTCCCAACCATATTCTAAACGTTTCATCTTAAGATTGTGAAAACGTTTTGTTGCTCAGGTGAGTGATTTTGGTGGAGTTTCATTCCTTGAGCTAAATGGTTTGTGTTTGGAGCTTTAATTGGTCCTTTGAACATAATCAGCACAAAATCCATGTAAAAGTGAAGCATTCAGATTTCTCCGCATATGACCAAGAGCTTGTCCTGTCGTCCTTGATATTGATCGGTATTTTGTTCAGAAGAACACGAATAAACCATCAATCTTAGAGAACAGAAACTCAAAATTATTCCCATTACTATTGTTATAGTGATGATTTTAACTATTTTCTTATTCATCTCTGTGAAATTATATCACGTCTAGTTAATGTACAATGAAAAATAAGTCTAACGCACATATGTATCAGTCTCTATGCTGCTTATAACTAGCGATTAACTGACTGAAGTAATACAAATACTTTTTGTTCTAACTTGTTTGTTTGTTTCTTCTCTTTGTATAGACATGTTTCTCTACGTCGAGTTCATTTATTCACGATAATACAAGTTGCTTGCTTAGTTATGTTATGGGTTATTAAATCCATTGAAGTACTTGCTATTCTCTTCCCCATTATGGTAAGTGTTTTTTTTAATATTTCATCTTATTATATTGAATAATACTTTGTCTCATTGCATTATTTCCTCAACGAAGTGTTGGAAGTAGGACTAGAGTTAGGAGTTAGGGATAGGATTACGACTAGGGTATTCAGCTAGAGTGAGAGACTACTTTTTCTTAACAAAACCTGGCGAAAGCATAGTTCAGGCAGGACCAATTAATTTCTAGCCAACCAAAAGATAGCTTTTATAAATGAATACCTTGTGGGAAAAAATAACATTGCAAAGTGTAAATATATTTTACGCGATTAATGTCTTCTGCAGCTTACTCTACCTGTAAGTCTAAAAATCAACGATATATAAACTCATCCTTCCGGTTATAGTTTATGTATATTTTTGAACTCTTTAAACGACCCAAATAGATATCTAAGGGTCCCTATATTGTTCGTAGTCAAGATTAGGATTAGGAAATTAATCATGAACTGAAATCAGTAATAATTTAAAAATACTCTACAGCCATATGAATGAATAAATTTCACACAAGAATCCAAGAGTAGTATCACCAGATTAAAGTTTATTTTAGGATTATGCGATTAGAGTTAGAATTTAGTCAGTGTCGATTTACAGAGATGGAACTTAGAATTTCATTCGTTTAACACAATCATTTATACCATGGTAATAAACTCAAATATTTCTACTGATCATTATAATTGATATTTTAATTTCACCTAAAAACGTAAATGCAATTTAGATTAGTGGACACATTACTCAGCATAACTGAGAAATAGATGAACATAACACTGATTTACCACTCCACGGTGATCAGCCAATTATAAATATTCCTACTTGGTGTTACGATAAAGATATGAAATCGGATGATACGATTGTGATTTGTCATCGGGTAATGTCTGAAACTCACAACATTGCTCAGTCCAATTATCAATGAGTTTATGGACTAAGGCTATATCTTAGTTTGACTGCCCCTATCTTTATACTAGCTTGTCAAGGCAGGCTTCTGCTAGAGATACGTAAGACATTTGTCAACCACTTCGATCGATGTAAATCAATTACCACATCTACAGACTTGCCATTTTTATCTAGTGCTTTGTGTCTAACCACAATATTGCTCATAGGCAGTTAGCAACATACGTAAGAAACGTTTCGGAGGAATCTATAATCAAACACAAATAACGTAGGAATCTCTCATACTTTTAAAGCCATGTTTCAAAGCAGAAGTAATTACTTTGCAGTTTAATTGTCATTTGATTACCAGACAGGAAACAGTTGTTGCACTTCTAGGACCCTTAGTGGCTACTTTTTGTCTTACCATTTTCAAATCGCACATCTGCTATACATAGTGGAATCTCGAGGAAAAAACATCCTAGTTAATACTGGTCTCAGTAGGTCGTTACGATGGGCAATCCTGACCATCACAACGAGGTAACAACTACGATCAGATTACTACTCATAGGCTGAACGTTGAATAACTACACTAGAGATTAGTCAAAACTTTTTCTTCATATCCATTGAACAAATTAGTGCATTTTTGATCTGATCTACTACTTCTCTTTGGAAGTTGTTGTCCAATATTTGTCCATATTGTCTGCTGGTCAAACGTTTGATATTGACTTCCTAACCCCTGTCTACACAATCAGATTTCTCCTATACTTAAACCCGAACAGTAATGAAAAAAAATGTATAGTTAGCATATAAGCTTTGCTTAAAGACTAATTTATTGATAGAAAAGTTTATTGATAGGTTTACAAATGCCTTGACGTACCAAAAGCTTAAGGAAGTGCACTAAATTTAATAATAAAATAAGTAATTGTCCAATCAAACTGTGACATATAACCCTACATTATTGATGTCTATCAAACAAGATGTTTTTTAGCCTGTTCTAGGCTTCTGAACATTGTAATGAAAAATTTTTAACATGCGATTTTCAACAGTCTAGATGATTTGGAAGTCTATCAATTACTGTATCCATCAGTTATATTATCTCTTAAACTATATATATTATATCATTTAATTATTCATTTTAATAGTGTTCTTTTTCTTTTCTTTTCAACTATATACATAGGTTTTAGCCATGTGTTTCATACGTAAAGGATTAGACTTTATATTTACACAAGAAGAATTAAAATGGTTAGATCAAATTTTACCCAGTACTAAACGTAAACCATTTCCACGTTCATTAGTCATATCTGTGCCAAGTAATAATGATTTTAATAAGGTTAGTTATTTGTATGATATTCTTAAACATTGTACTTTATCATCTATTTATCTAAGTATTATTATTACTGTCTTGTTTCTTTTCGTATTGTTTGTTGGTATACATGTGTGCTTGTGAGCCCATTAAAACAACTATGGTTTTAATTGCTTAATGTGAATGATAATTTTTTTTGGATTTTTAACCATAAGAAAGTGATTGGTTTTGGTAGGACTATGATTTATGAACGACCACTGAACCACGCCAGAGTGACTTAGAAAATTCACCTACTAACTAGAGTCTTAAGACTGTTATAAATGAGTGTAGAAAATCATAATCGAGATTTAGAGTTAGAAGTTACGGTTGGGAAGTAAAATTATAATCTTGATTACGAACTGACATTAACTATAATGTCAAAATGTTATTTAGTCATATAGATGAGTGAACTTCACTCCGAAATCCAAAACTCTCTATTTTAAATCTGATTGGTTTGTTCATCAATTGTAGTTTCTCCGTTGATTTAATTGTTATCGAAGTGTTTGCCAAATATGTGAAGATGTACACCTTTTTTTCACTTAAATATATAAAGACGTAGCACGATGAGAAACAAATTATCTTTGGGTGTAACCATTTTCAAACTCAAATCTAAACTAATGACAACGTAATTAATAGAGCTTATTTTTATTCAAAAGGTAATTACCTTATAAATTATTAACCTTCATGTCCGTAACAACGGCCATAATCACGACTTATACCATTTTTAAAATTATTCATATTATTATGTGATAGGTTTAAGGACTACAAAGTAGGACAGTGCAAAAAATCACTCACTAATGCGAGGGCGGGTATGACGAACATATTTAAACCCCCAGTTGTATTGGTATTGGTCTTGATTATATACGACAGTTGAATTATCCATTTATCAACGTTCTTCTGACTGGTTTTGTTCGACTTACGCTATAAAGTGGTGAGAAGATGTAACCAGTGGAGCTCCATCAGGTGTGAGGCAGCACCCAACGTAGACAATAGAAGATGGTCGCGCAGTATTGTGGTTTGATTGAGGTTCGAAATCACCACTGTTAGATGACGGCTCAGTAGTCTTGAAGTTAACGACTTTCGCGCGAGACCGAAGGACCTAGGTTTGATTTCAGAATGCGGGATCGTGATTACACAATGCTGAGGAGTCATATGCTAGAACGAAACGGCATCCAGTGTTTCTAGGTTTTCATTGATGGTCTAACAATAATCGGATCATGATTTAAATAAAAGTCAGTAATCTCCACAACCCTATACTTAAAATAGTTTTATATCTACAAAAAATTATTACTGTTGTACTAATTTGTCAGAATAAACAGTTGGTAAATGATATGGTCGAATAGACAGCTCTTTGTTCATGCGATACATTTCTATAAATTCTACCAACGTGCATATATGTTTAGAATTCATAATGTATGTATGAAGGGTTTCTAAGTTTGATTAAGTTTGACAAATTTGATGCATTTATGTAAAGAAATGCAAGAATATTGTCAAAAGTTCTAGTGTACATATTCCATCTAGCAAAGTTAGAAATGTAATTTGATTTGATAATACTACAAAACACCTTGAAATAATACAATCATTAAGTAATGGAATAAACGCATCATTCATCAGACTGGTTAATACGGCTGATCAGTCGATTGATACACTAGATAATTTGACCACTTGATTAGATTAAGTGATACAGAATTACACAATTCCCCACTAATAACTGATAGTCAGATAATCTGAGATAACACTGTGTGAACTCTAGAGAACGATACAATTAGATCTCAAGTGAATCGTCAGTGAAATCAATGCTTTACATATAACAATAGTTTACATTACTAATCATAGATTTGGCATGTTTATATTCGCTCTCCGTTCAATCTTATCCTACTTTCACTGGGCAAACATCAGAATTTATGCACTTCTTTGTTGTAATCGTAACACAAACTTCACTAGTTCGCTAACAAGATGTCAAAAATACACTTCATTATCATGTTATCAATTATGGTTGATGTTTACATTGTACAATACTTGATTTATATTTAATTAAATTCAATTAAAATCAGAAGCACTAACTATCGAGATAATTATTCACATTATCAATAAATGCTTACACAAGGTAATAAAAAAGCAAGAAGAATTTTCGTATAGAAGTATACTTATGAACCATTAGAACTTAAGACAGCACACCTTTGGGATTTCTGCTAGAAATTCAAAACACAATGACGAATTGCTTATATCTTGCTAGGAGCAAGGTATAAAATGAGTTAAGCCTACAATTATCTAATCATCAAACCGCTTAAATTTGATAGACATGAAACAACTAAAAAATGGGAAAGAGCTTTTTCAATTTTTAAGATGACAATGGGAAGGTAATTTACAATTGTTTAAACACATATACATGCGCCACACAAAATCTGAGTGTGGACCGTAATACTGTCCGGGCGTTCAAACCAAAGCAGATGGTTTTATTAGGGGGCCACTCCCCGACACGAGGGTCTAGTCATTGGGGCAGTGTTGGGGGATACGATCCTATGGTGGCCGGTAACAACAATAATTTTATGCACTATTTGTTCCCTGAAGATTCTAGAGCCTATGTGCAACACTGGTTTAGAATCATGGATTCTCAACTCCCCTAGGTGGATTCTTCGTACTTACTAACCTGGTTTAAGCCTTCTCCCAACATTCGCTTTTTGTCTTCTCAACTCCGTTGGTAACGTTACCACGAGAAGACTGTGAGTAGTTCCATGACAGAGGGCATATATGCGTGACCATATGAGAGGCATTCGACGGGGGAGGAGACTCTCCTTTCCCTCGGTCATACCAGGGTATTTGGGGACATGGGAAAGTGATCAATCTTTTAAAGATAAAAATAATTGCAAACAAGCATGATTAAAATATCAATGATTCATGAATTTTCCGAGATAACTGATATATTTATGAGGTTTGAAAAAAAAGAACTATCTACTATAACCGTTCATTAATATGAGGCCCCAAACTATTCTCCCACTCTTATTTTTAACCCCTAATTCTAATCATTTTTAGGTTTGAATGTAATATATTATTCATTCACTCTGCTCGCAACCTGATTGGTCAAAAGCTAGCCCTACTTTCTTAATAGGATCATTTTCCAGGTCACCAAAGATCTTCACCATTGGATGTTATTTCAATGATGAAACTCGCTTATGTATTTTTAAGAGCTGTTTGCTATTCAGCAAACGTTTGTTTTACGGTATTTTCTTCGTGTAGTTTTAACTAGTAGATTTTTTTAGTCATGTTGGTTGATGCTGCCTTTCACCAATCAGAATAGAAAAATTATAACCAGTTTACTACAAATGAATTGCCGAATTTTATTCAGCAGATTTTCTCTGTTATAGATTGATATATTTCGAGACACTATTGAGAACTAGGCAGAACTGAACCTTAAAGTCTCTCAGCGAACGCTTAACCATGAGAACCATCCTACGGATAACATCTGTCCGATTTCTTGGTGGTGTCGTGAAAGCACACTACTGAAGAACCCTACACTATACTGAAATGACGTAACTGTTCAGTCCCACTTGGTTTTCAGGTTAATCTTGACTGAAATCAATCTATGAATAATCCAACCTACAGATTGATTAATTCTCTGGAAAACTGTCTCCGTTACTATTAAATCCTGACATTTGGATTTCACTTTGGGCGTACGACACATGGTAATTTAGGAACCACTACGCTACTCAATATATGATCGTGATTTTCTCGTGTTGTGATAAAAACTTTAGAAACACATCGACTTTGTGTTTGACCTTATTGGTGGTCATGTGACGAATAATTGTGTTCAGGTTCAGTAGATTTACTTATTTTTCTTACTCCTGTAGCTAAAATTAGGCTAATTTCTCAATGTGATTCGGAAATCAATATGTATCTGTACATTGAACTATTACTGATTTCCTTCCTCCATTTCTTTTTCTCTCTCCACTCACTCACTGCACCATTTACATTCCTCTTTTCCAGAACACGAAATTTTCAAGTAGTGCGAATCTTTTACAAGAAAAGAAAATATCTCAATCAGAAGAAAAGGTAACTATTTCTCTTTTTTTTAAAAAAGAAATTATACTTGTCTTATTTTTAAATAGTTCACGGTTTCCTTTTGCTCACCTTTAAGCGCCAAAAATCTTTCTTCCTGGTTGACACTTAGCAAGGCGTACCTACAATCTTGACAGAATTGATATTCTCTGTAGGATTCGGACCCCTATGACCCAGCTTCACAGAAAGAGATTTTAACACAGCTATTCGAGCACCCAATGGCATCCTATAACACTTAGGTATTTACAAATGATTAATCACTAAGTAGTGACTGATGCCATGTCTGTTTAGTCTTTTAGGGCTAATCGAACTCTATGGAATGAGTTGCAAATGTGTCTACTAGTCTAAATTGCTCGATATCGTACGCAGAATATTTTGGTGTTACATGGTTGAAGATAGTTGACGGAAAACCCTGTTTGGCTTAAGCTTCATGATAGCTGACACTCACCAAAATGGTGAACATGCACTCTTTGTAGAATTGATGCTGCCGCATCTCTAAGTTTTGCTGCCTTAGACGTTATCACTAAAGTTTTCGGGCCGTCCTGTCAAGTTTACCTCAAGCTTATAACATCTGAAAATATGACATAAAACTCCGATTCTTAGGACTTGATCGAGAACACTTAGGACCAAACAAATGACAGTGACTACTACTAATACTACCACTACTACTAAGGTGTATGCAATTTGTGTCTACAAAAGTAGTATGTAACACCAGTCAGAAGTGGGATGTCTGGCAGCGAAGTTTGGGAAGATCGAATCGTAGAGCACGGGAACAAAGAGTAATTGCTGAAGCAATGAAGCAGCGATGAAGTTCGAGACAATTGATGGGGAATTTGTAAATAAAATATTGAACGTATGGTTTTCACAACTTACCAAAGAACTCTGTAATTTTTTGAAAAGGTACACTTGATATCTATATTTGTGTTCCCGTTCATAACACTACTACTAACATTACTACTATTACTACCCTACTCAGTAACCACTCCAGTATTCATAGTTGAATATATTTGGTGTCCTGACTTTTTTCTTTCTTCTTAATCAACTTTTGCAGCGTATCAATATCACAGAAGAAATGTCAAAAACATCTATTTGGCGCCAGTTAAGTGGTGCGGATATAAATAATGAGTGTAAAAAGACTTCGTAAGTTTTTGCCGTTAGACTTGATTTAATTTTTATAATTGAATGTTCACTTCTAATTTGTCTAGATGTAGAGGTAAAAAGTAAATGCATATTAAATATTTCTTACTCCTATCTCTCGCTCTTCTCAACGTTTATCAGTCAGCCAACTAATCGGAATCAAAATAGGACCTGGCAATTTCAGTCAGTCATAACCAATGTAGAACCTGTTATTTATGTGCATTGATTCAAATTACCATGCCACATTAGCACAGTGGAGTGAAATTATCACAGTAAATGCCAGTGAAAATAGTAACAGTATCGATGTGATTATATTAGATTCGGCATAGATGATATGATCCGAGGAAAAAGAATGAATTAGTGTGATGAAAGGTGTAAAATAATTTTGAAACTCACAATTTAAGGAAAAAAAGAACAAAGTCATATGCCATGTTCCCCATTGTTTCTAACCAATGGTTATAATGATCATCCGGAACCCAAACATGGTTGTGTACACCTACCTATACTCCCTAGTTCAGCAGTTAACAGCTTCGTTAGCTTTCTTCCGAACCAGTCCTCGTATCAGCAAACATGACACATGTAATTATGTTGTGATCGGGTCTAAGTTATACTTATCCCAACCACCTCAGTTGATGAATATTCACAACCTTCTCAACCGATTCTTCATGTCTACCTAGTACTCTGGATCTAACCTCAATTCTTCTCACTCAGTAGCTATAACATTCGCAAGCAATGTGATTAAATGCTAGTGACCCACAAATATTCTCTCTTTCAAAAAGGACATATTTTACAGCTATAAATTAGGACAAATTTAATTGCCGCACTTTTTTCTTAGCAAGAGACATTTCACCCACTCTGCAAATAGTCCGATTTGGTGAGAGTTAAGCCAGTTTTCTAAAACCGTGTACCAAGATTTTACTGGGCTATCAACTCACAAGGGTTGGTGAAACGTCCAAGAAAAGTGAAATTGTCAACGCACTCAACTATTTTACTCGCAAGCATAAACTATTCATCAGCTTGCTCTTCTCGATGTTTACTTACTATATTATTGATTGTTTTTATACATAAAATACGTGAATATATGTGCAGCAGGCTTAGAAGTCTAAAGAGTTGTAGACAAATCATGAGTTATCGGTTGGTGATGGTTAACAGTAGATGGTTGACAAATCTCATTATTCATCAAATAATGGTTTTACAGACAGATGATTAGATATTACCAGGTTTGATGCTTGAGCACTCGAACTTCTAACAGCTAATAATTCTCCTACAAATGAATCGCTGACGATAGATAAGAGATGGGAAGTGTGGAAAGAAGCTTGACTATTAAGGTTAATTTAGTTATAGAAAGTAGTGAGATTTTGTAAGTTTGCGAATAGTGTTGACATTGTGGAGGTTTCTGAAAACATCCTTAATTTAATAATAATTTCTATGAAATTCCAATCAGTATATGACATGTTACCCATCTTCTTTCGAAAACTCTTTGGGAAGTTTCCGTTGAAAGCTGACCGAATGAAGTATTTGCATACTTTTAATCTGTAATGACTTTTCAAGGAACTCTCGATGTGTCCCAACAGATCCAGCGCTGTCCAAACAGAATATGTCCTACATATATTACTAATGACTGTGAAGCATATTCCTTGAAAGTTGAAAATATGCATAGGTTGTGATTAACTAATCATGAATAGTGCCTTCGAACCATGGATCGAGTGTATAGTGAACTTATTAAGTTAGTAATTCTGAGCTTGCATGTAGAGTACTAGTTAAATATAATGAATCAGTTTGATGAGGCTGGAAATCATCGTGTCAGTATGACCAAAAGATTTGTTACATATCAGTTATAATATACAATACTGAGCAACAGCTTTGGAATGGTTTACAGAAACATAAACAAGGATATCTAAATCACAATATGAAATTGTAAATCATTGAGTTCGGACAATATTGACAAATTTGGCCCCTGTCAACTAATGTGTACATGATAATTTGTTATAACTGTGTTCACTATTCATTTTTATGAGAATATTGATTCAAAATGATATGTATGTTCTGTATTTGAAATATCATTAGTTTTTGGTTAGTCTCTGTGTATCCTGTGAGAAAGGAAGCCTCAGTGTTCTCGCTCTTTTTGTTACGAGTTTGAGTATATTTTTACAGTACAGCCAGAAATCGGTTTTTCTGTAAAGCCTTACGAATAAAAATTGTACTAATTAAAGTAGTTAATAACCATCTGAACTCAGTGGGTCAGTTAGGTTAGAGTTGGAAGGAATCTAGAATAAACTATATACTAACTTAAGTTTCATGGTATTTGACACTTGTCAGTACGACTCACCTACAATTTTAAGGGAACTGATGCTTCCTGGTGGTTTTAAAGCTTCATCAACCTGCTACGCAGTCTAGGACACTATCATGGTGTTATTCAGGCTATGATTGACCTCCTGTAGAACTGAGGCGTATGTTTACTGAGTAGCGCTAGTCGATATTATGCATGTTTAATCCTTTATTACTGATCGAAGTGTATGCACTACTCGGTTCAAATCCCAATGTGAATATCCAACATTGAGATGGTAGACGCTACGATTGTTTTACAAAAATCTCAAGTAGAACTATGGTTCTTGTCTTTTAGCTCTGATTACTTCATGATATTTAATTCATTGATTTCACTCAATCACTGATCCATCGCTTTTAATCGATATATTTCTTTTGATCAATATACTACTCTTTTTCCAGCTACTTCAAAACTCCATTCTACTACTTTTCTTTTTCCATTGTGTTGTTGTTGTCATTTTTGTGGAAGTGTTGCAACTTGATTTATTGTGTTCATTTATACTAAATGTACACATTTCCTTATTAACAACGTTGCTTACAAACCTTTCAAACAGACCTATAAGGCTTTACATTTGTGTATTCCAAAAGTTTGTAACTGATTCTATGTACATAAGTGAGTGTGTCTAGTCTTTTATGCATTGATTAGTAAATTTTTTATTCGTTTTCGTTTCTTTTCGTCTTCTCCATTGCTCTCATCAAATCTCCTGCTCTCTCCTCTCATCACTTCATGTTACATTTTCCTTCCCATTACATTTTTTTCTAGGAAAAATTATTATTTTAAAACAAAATTATGAAAATCGTTATCTGATAAGGTTTAATTTAATGGTACTACTGTAATAAATTAACTAATCTCACAGTTTCTTTTTTTTTCTCTACATACACGTGGAGACTGATTTAATTTGTAGACCTTGTTTTCAGAGATTGATCTCAATTCAAGTACCACTGAAAATCAAATAGTACTGAATAGCTGTCTCTTCCTAGGGTAGGAATTGTAAACAATACGCATCCATGGTCTCATCACTGAGAACTGTACCTAGAACAGCCACATTTTCAAATGAACTTTTAGTCATCAAAACCCCATGGTTGAGGTTCGGTGGTGCGATTGTAACTTTAACCAATTTGTTATATTGCGCGGTGATCATCAAATCTCATTGATAATAGTTAGAAGCCTTATTTACGACTTAATAGCCGAATGTTCATCATGAGAGCTGAAGGTTCGGATTTGGATTATAGATGGAATAGTAGATGCGCATTACTGAAGAGCCCCTACAGTTGTTTGGTGGACTCTGGTTTTTGATGGTACATCAACCAAGATCAGTCTGTTACAATCATATTTCATATGTATTGTGAATCGCGAGGTGGCTACTCTAATTTCTACCGCTTGACCAGATTCAGATATATCAGTTCGACCCCAATACTGTTTCCAACCTCCAATATATCAGAACACGAACCGAAGATGAAAAATTGTTTATGGGGTCAGGAGTAGAACAATGATTTACAAACAAATGCATATTTATAAAGTTAGGATTACTATAAATACTGACCAACCGAAAAATGACACGTGAAATAGTATTGACCAAACGAGAAAATGACACGCGGAATAAATATTGATCAGTAAGGAAACGACCAATAGGAAAATGACACCATTTAACGTTCAAGGGTAGCATTAGACTTAACCAGATAATTGTTTTTGGGATATTTTTCTGAATATCCCAACAATATGGATGCTCATTCTTCCTTCACTTATTTTATCTCATCTTTCCCTGTTAATTTGTTTTTAGTAATAAATCAAAAGATACAAAACCTAGTAGTGGGAGTTCATCAAAAACACGACATCGTAAAGCGAAACACTTTTCGTCCACATCACCGTGTGAGGATGATGAGGACGAAACGTTCAGAACTGATACGAATCATTTGTCCAATAATTCTACTACAACTACTACTCCTGGTAATAACAGTAATAATAATAACTCCGACGCTAATGGTCAACAAGATCAATCCACATCAAATTCACCATCTGTAGCGTTCCCGACAAAACAGCAACAACCAGTTATATTCTGCATTGATCCCAAGGATACAGTAAATAATACAAAAGGACCAACTATTAATGTTAAGGAAAATAGAAATACTGATAGTTTACCATTATTAGATACACCGAAAATTATGATAAATCCACCATCGAATCAAGGATCACCGGAAACAGCGCATAGACGACAACAACATCATATACAACGCATTTAACAATCTCAATTATAAAGTTGACTAATTGAAATGAATAATGATAGATTTTTCTTTTCTCTCTTAGAAAAAAAGCAGTTCCTCCTACAATTGATGGTTTTATATGAATTGCTTCCCACATTTTTTTATTATAATAAAATTTCTTGTGTGTGTGTGTGTTTGTTGGTTGGTCTATGTGAATGCATGTTTATGTACATGACTTCAAGAAGAAATGACGAAAGACTACTGAAATAATCTAAAACGCGCATATACATATACATACATATGTATCCGTATACTTACAGAGTACATTTTAATCAGTCTTTCCACCTTTCCACTTCCTAAATTTATTCACTGATTATCGATATTGTATTGGTAAGGAAGAAGATTAAAACTGAAGAAACAGAATGTATCTGATCAAAATTGTCGTAAGCAAATGCCCAACAAACCTGCATGATTTG